TATATATATATATATATGTATATATATATATGTATATGTATATGTATATGTATATATATATATATATATATATGTATATATATATATATATATATATATATATATATATATATATATATATATATATATATATATATTTCTATTTTTCAAGGGTGTTGTGGGACCTCTCAAAATATTTTTTTTACTAAAATATTTGAAATCCAGTGTTTTTTTAATATACACAACATAATTAGGTTTCAGACAAAATCAAATTTTTTAAATAGTTGTTTTGTGATGCACCCTAATGTGTATATATATATATATATTATATATATATATATATATATATATATATATATATATATATATATATATATATATATATATATATATATATATATATATATATATATATATATATATATATATATATATATATATATATATATATATATATATATATATACACACACATATATATATATATATATATATATATATATATATATATATATATATATATATATATATATATTCTACAAATTGAACCAATTACCTAAAACCAAAAGTGTAATATATACCAACTTCCTTTTTCTCATTTTGTCAACAGTTACTTTACAAACTAGACGGTGTAGTTAACTGATTCAGTTTGTAAAGTAATTGCTGTTCTTAAATAGTTCTTTAACTTTGTTCTTTTTATTATGTTTCCCCCTATTTTGTATTTTGTGTTTGTAGATCTAGATCACTTGATGTGTTAAGTAAAATAATTCTTTTAATCAAGGTATATAATAAAAAATTCTTTTTCATAAATCATTTGTAACTTTTAATTACACTTTTTTTTTGCTTTTATTGTACAGCATTATTTCAGCATTATATATATCCTGTTTAGATAAGTAAAAAAGCATTAGATAAAAAAAATGATATAATTTCACTTATGTACAATAAATAAAATTTTAATAATAATATAATAATAATAAATATTTACTGTAACAACAGTTTATACATTGTTGCAGAGCATACTGTGATGCTATAACAGCTGGTAATGTTATAAATTGTCAAAATTAGTTTTGAAACAATTTACTGACCTCAAAGAAATAACATAGTTAGGCGAAAAATTCCAGTTTTTAATTATTCTATTGTTGAAAAAGTTATTTTTTGAGAAACACTTAAATTTTTCACTTTTGATTCTTGTACGTTTGATGAAGGATTGTCGCTTGTTAGTGAAGAAACCAGTTTTAGATTTTTGAACCAATTCACAATTTGTAAGCCATTTCAGGCCTTGTTATGAGTTTTTGTTGCGTAAACGAAAAGCACAACGTGATTAAATGTAACTTAATTAAATAAAGATATTTACATTGCAAAAGGTTTAATTGCGTCAGTTGCATATTTTAAAATACCTCATTGTAATTAAATTCAAAAACACATTAGAAATTATTGTAAATTAAACAATATTGTTAAAAAAAAAGTTATAAATTAAATTGAAATAGTGATTAAAAAAAAATTTCCCTAATTTTAAAATCTTTAATTTTTTTTTTAAAACATTTTTTTTATGGTTATTTTTTTAAACATTGTGTATATCGCAACGGTACCGTTGCTTAAGTTTTTTATCCTCAAGTCACAGTAGTAAAGTTTGATTGGTTTATTTTAAGTCGCGCTGCGAATATGATTGGTTAATTTTGAAAGTTTTATTTGTACAAATTTTAAAAGAATTGCAAACAGGAATTGTGTGTTTAGCATTGTGGTATCTCATTTGTTTTTATCTCTAGGTAATCCGGGATCAAGTCCTACTTCCAGGAAAATTTTTTAAAATGTTTTTTAACAATTTTTTTTATTGAAAGTTATTATTATTGTTGTATATTGAAAATTACATTGATGTTTATTATTTACAAACATCGGCTGATATAGGGATAGGCGCAGTGATAAAAAAAGTTTTTGCATAACATAAATTGCAAAACGCGTACGTGAAATCCTGAATACTTACGTAAAATTCAGATAGGTAAACGCTTCTTAACAAGGCCTGCCATTTGATATTTTATATTGGTATATCAAATCCTCCTTAGTTCTGCAATTTTCTAAAGTTGTTAAATTTAGTTCCCATTGTCTATCTTTAAATGTAAGCTTTTTGAAATCTGGAATGAGTTTTGTGGCTCTTCTTTGAACCTTTTCAAGTTCTACTATATCATTGATTAGAGTTAACTTCCAAACTGGTACTGAATATTCAAGATAAGGTCTCACTAGTGTACAACATGAAAGATAAGATCACACTAGCGTATAACATGAAAGATAAGGTCTCACTAGTGTATAATATAATGACTTAACTATGTCAGAATTTAAATAAATAAAAGTTCATTTTATTAAACTCAAAGGCCTTTGCATTTTAGCGACTACTGATTTTACTTGTTCATACCATTTATTTTCAGCTGATATAAATATAACTCCATTTAGATCAGTTTGTATAAATATACCTATAAATAAGTCTCTTTCTAATAATGTTTCTTTAATTTTGTAATTTTCATCTGTGTCATTAATAGTTTACTTTTATGATGTATTTTTAGTGCCAATGTGCATGATTTTACATTTTTCTTTATTGAGTTTCATTTCCATTATTATTATATTATATACTACTATGTGATATTACATTAGTTTAATACTTTATTAATGTCAGTTTGAAGTTGATTTGCTGCTTTTAAAATCATTTCAATCAATAATTAAAATTAATTTGCTGTCATCAGCAAATAATTTGCATTTAGAAGTTAGCAGGTTATGTAAATCGCTTAATTATATAATAAAAAGAAGTGGACTCAGTACAGAGTCTTGTGGCACTCCACTAAATACTTCACACCAATTAGATATATTTTAACCCATAATTACCCTTTGTTTTCTACCAATTAAAAAGTGTTTGATCCAAGCTAGCAAAACACTTCCCTTTAATGCCACAGGCTGCTGATTTTTTAATTAATTTTTTATGTGGGACTTTTTCAAAAGCTTTTTCAAAATCCATGTATAATATTTCAACCTCCGTACCATAATAAGCAGCACTTGTAATAATGTCCAATGATTCTAGTAAGTTTGTGGCACATGATTTTTGTTTCACAAATCCATGCTGTTGATTAGAAATCAAATTATATTTGTTCAGATGATTCAATGTAATCTTGCAAATTAATCTTTCTAAAAGTTTACAGATGTCAGAGACACTGGTCTAAAGTTTAAAGTGATCTTTGTGTCGCCTTTTTTGAATATTGGTGTTATATTAGCTTTTTACCACATAGTAGGTAATGAAGGTAAGTTAAATGATTTTTTGAATAAAAGAAAAATTGGTAGTGCTAATAATGCCGCATAATTTTTTAGAACATTTGTACTAAATCCGTCAGTTCCTAGAGATTTATTTTCATTAAAACTACGTAATTCTCTGGCAATTTATGTTTTTGTAATTGTATCATTCCAATTCCGGTTTAACACTTCCTTAACATTACTATCGAAATTCATTGTTATCTTCTTTCACAAAAACTGATTAAAAATAGTTATTGAATAAATTTAAATTGACTTTTTTTCAGTAACTATGTCATTGTTGTCTCTTTTTGATTTTGGGTAATCTTCTTTGTTTAGTTTTAACTAAAATAAAATAACATTTGATTAGTTTTGATATTATTTAATAGTTGATTTTCATATTCAATTATAAATTTTTTTATAGATCTTGGTATCATTCTTCTAATCATTTTATATTCATTTAGTAAATCATTATTGTTAAAGTTTATTGCTCTTAGTCTATGCTGCAGATTACCCTTTAATTCACATTTGTCCATAGTACTGTTATCTGAAATATATCTCCAATCAACATAAGAAAAGGCTAGGTTTAGTTTTTCATAATATCCATTAGTATACGTGAATATTTTTCCATTGTAGATCTTGCTGCTTTGTTATCAAAATATCAATTTTCCATTTTAATACATGATGAGCTCGTATTAATTTGCCCAATTGTAGGTGTATTTGCAAGTCATGCAAGTTTTCACTATTGCTGAATAGAATTAAATCCTATGTATTTGTTGGTTTAAAGATATTGGTTTGGAATGTTGGTTGATATTCATTATGTTGAATGTAATTATCGTTCTGGTTGTCTATAAAAATAGTACTCTGTGTTAATCCATCATCATTCCATCGTATCTCTGTATAATTAAAATACACTTCAAAGCAACACTTCAAAACATACACTCAAAGCAACACTTCAAAGCATACACTCAAAGCAAGCACTCAAAGCAACACTTCAAAGCAACACTTCAAAGCAAGCACTCAAAGCAACACTTCAAAACATACACTCAAAGCAACACTTCAAAACATACATTCAAAGCAACACTTCAAAACATACACTCAAAGCAACACTTCAAAGCATACACTCAAAGCAAGCACTCAAAGCAACACTTCAAAGCAACACTTCAAAGCAAGCACTCAAAGCAACACTTCAAAACATACACTCAAAGCAACACTTCAAAACATACATTCAAAGCAACACTTCAAAACATACACTCAAAGCAACACTTCAAAGCAACACTTCAAAGCAAACACTCAAAGCAACACTTCAAAGCAACACTTCAAAGCAAACACTCAAAGCAACACTTCAAAGCAACACTTCAAAGCAAGCACTCAAAGCAACACTTCAAAACATACACTCAAAGCAACACTTCAAAACATACACTCAAAGCAACACTTCAAAGCATACACTCAAAGCAACATTTCAAAGCATACGCTCAAAGCAACTCTTCAAAGCATACACTCAAAGCAACACTTCAAAGCATACACTCCATGCAACATTTTAAAACATACGCTTAAAACAACACTTCAAAGGCATAATCAACTCTGTCTTAGGAAGTTATTTATTTTTTCCAATAAAAATCTACATTAACTGCACAAAAACCTTTCGCAAAGTCTTCAGAACTAATATGCCTCCAGTTTTTTTTATGTTTTTTGCAGTTAAAAGGCCTGGGTTTTAAATTGCAGTGGTTAATAAGTTTTATAATATTTTTTAGGTTTGTCAGGTTGGAATTCAAACTGTCCTTAATGCGCAAGCATATCTTCTCTTTTATATTAAAAAAGATGGTATAAAGGTATTAATTTACAATTGTGAATAATTATAATGCTATTATATTTTTTTTAAACAAATTCACTCTCAACAAGGGTGCAAGCAACCACTATTAAGTTGGGAAATACTAGAAAAAAAAGAAGAGAGTTAAAGAGCAAGGAAACAGTTGGTAGAATAATTGAGAAGTTGAAGGTTATAAATCAAGAAAAGATGAAGATGGGAGAGAGTTCCAAACAGTTAGAAAAAAAAAAAAAAAGATTGAATAAAAGTTTTTAGAGTATATAGATACAGAAACAGTAAAGGATGTGACTTTGCTTAATGAGCAAGAATGAGTTTTGGTTAATGAAACTAGAAATAATAGCTCCTTTGAGCCGTAGTCATGATAGTATTGGTAGAAAAGAAAAAGAGATACAACTTTACAACGATGAGAGAGAGGCTCAAGCTTAGCAGATAAAGCAAGTTTAGCTATTTTTACAATGTATTTTTGGACCTTGTCTAAAAGAAAAAGAGCATCATTAGAAGAACCAGCCCAAATATGAAAACAGTTTCCATATGGGGGGGGGGGGGGGGGGAATAAGAGATTTGTAGAGGTAGAGAATGGAAATATGTTTAACATAATGGTAAATATGAAAATGTAAAAATAAATATATAAATGGTGATATGAAAAGTATATATACATATATATATATATATATATATATATATATATATATATATATATATATATATATATATATATATATATATATATATATATATATATACACACACACATAAATATATATACACACACTTATAAATATATATACTTATATATATGCACTTATATATACATATACATATATATATATATATATATATATATATATATATATATATATATATATAATATATATAAAATATATATTGAGCCTTCCCAGGAAAGGCATGCGGGTTTTTTTCTCGTACGACCATGAAAACGTTTTTCAAGTTAGAGAATGTGATCACGGCCGTTTGCGCAGGTTACATTATATGCGTTACTGAAAATTGTTTTGAATTTAATAACTGCATAAGAAATTAAAGTAAACTTAAATAGAAAACAATAATAATAGTTTAAATAATTTGTGTGTTGTTTTTATTTTTGTTTTTTCTTAGTGGCTATTATTATCGGCAACAAAATTCATTAAGTCAAGACAAAAAAAAAAAAAAAAAAAAAAAAACGATTTTAGGCATTAAAAAGAATGACTTCCCATATTTTATGTTTTTTCTTTTAAAGAGGAAAGAGAAAATATGTACCGTCATCTGTTTGTAAAATCTATTTGTATAATTATAATGTAACAAGTTTATATGAATAGTTAAATTATACGATCGCGTTTACAAACTCTGGTAAAATATTAGGTCTTTAGAATTTTAGTTCATGCAAAGCTGTTTACTTTGTTTATAAGGAGCAAATTATTAAAAGTTTGCTAGCGAGAAAGTTACAAAAAACAAAACAAAAACAAACTTACGACTACAAAAGTAATAACACTTTAGTCACTAACTGCATTATAAAAGTAATAAAACTATAATAGTGTTATTACATTTATAAAGCACTTATTACTTTTAAAGTTCATTCTTTGTTCAAACAACATTATTAGTTCCAAAAATTTTTTAAAGTAGAAATGCATCTAGAAAAAATAAAACGAATATTCAAGTATTATGAAAAATTTCAAGAACTTTCACATATTACTTAAACAACGTTATAAAAAAGTACTTTTTAAAAAGTATAACAATGAAAAATGTTTTGTAAAAACGCGCCTTAGTTTTAAAATCAACCAATAAAAAATTTTTATTGGTTAATTTTAAAATTAATGCGCGTTTTTACGGGCCATTAGTAGCGTTTTTCAAAATGCTAAACTTTTAATACAATACGTTTTCATAAAGTTGTTTGTCACGATTTTATAAGTTCCTTTAGTTTTAATATTATTTGAAGATCTACTTTATTCTTCTAGATATTTTTCTACTTCAATTAAAATTTGGGATTACTTATGTTGCTTGAACAAAAAAGGAATTTTAAAAGTTATAAGTGCGTTATAAAGGTAATAACATTATTATAGTGTTATTACTTTTGTAATGCAGTTAGTGACTAGAGTGTTATTACTTTTGTAATCGTAAGTTTATTGTTTTATTGTTTATTTTTTCGCTAACAAATTTAAGTTGATTCTCCCCTTATAAACAAGAAACACAGTTTTGTATGAACTAAAATTTTGAATACTAGATATTTTTCCAGATTTTGCGTTTTGCATTCGCTTAATTCAACCCTTGTTGTTACATTAAAATTATACAAATAAATTTTACAAAAACATTGCAATTTGTATTTTTGCTATCCTCTTAAAAAAAAATTAAGAAAAGGAAAATCATTCTTTTTATTATAGACTTCAAACAGTTTTTTTTTTTTGCTTTGCCTTATCTAATTTTGTTGCTGAATGTAACTCTAAAATAACAAAAATAAAAACAGTACACAAATTATTTAAATTATTAATTTGTTTTTATTTTTTTCTATTTCAATCTCTTTTTATTTTGTTAGTTTTTTTTTTTTTAAAAAAAACTTTTTCAACATTATTATAAAACTTGCAAATGGCCGTGTTCACGTTTTCTAAAATATTATAATCGCGTGTGGTCATACAAGACAAAAAACTGTACGCCTTTCCTGGTAAGGCTTGTAAATATATATATATATATATATATATATATATATATATATATATATATATATATATATATATATATATATATATATATATATATATATATATATATATATATATATATATATATATATATATATAAATATATATATATATATATATATATATATATATATATATATATATATATATAAATATATATATATATATATAATATATATATATATATATATATATATATATATATATATATATATATATATATATATATATATATATATATATGCATACACATACAGCATGGAAAATAAGAAATCAAAGGTGAGCAGTCAATTTGACCAGCTAGCACATGGAATTGACAGTCAATTATTTTGTTGAGGGTCAAAAATTTTTTTTTAGATAGATCTAAATTTAAAATTATTTTTTTTACAAATATTTGGTAGGTATCTTCATAGGGAACAAAAAAAATTCAGAGTGGGTGAAAATGAAATCTGGCAGCCAATTTAGCGCAATGTGTTAACCTGATTCCTCAATTGGTAGAAAAAAAAACTGCAAATGTGTTATTGATAGTTTTAAACTTATTTAAAAATAATTTATTCATTGCAATAATTTTGCCATTGGCAGGAAAAGCTGTGTGAAAACCTAAATGAAAGTTTAAATTTTCGAAAAATAAAAAGTTAAATTTTCAAAAGTCTAATAAAAAAAAAAAATAAATAAGAACAAAAAAAAAAAAAAAAAAAAAAAAAAAATGTTTAGAGGCAAACATTTTCTGAGTTACATACAACAATTTCAAATAATAATTAAAGTCAACCACGTTAAAAAAAATTTCACATTCCATATCTCTGCTCATTCAAATCATTTTAAAAATTGCTAATTTTAATTATTTAATAATAAAATCGTGCCCAGAAACTGTTAAAATTAATACTTAGTAGTAAGAAGACAATATAAAAAAAAAATAATGTAAAAATTACTAATGTTATATAAAACCAGATTTTTACAAAATATCTCTATATTTTTGTTTTAAAATCATTTTATAGAAATAAAGTGCTAACGTGCAATTAGTAATTTTAAATTTATCAACAAATCATTCATTTATTCATTCATTTATTCATTCATTTATTGCAAATTTATCGTTTAAATTTTGAAAATGCTTTTAAAATGGTTTTATTGTATATGATATGAAACTTAAATTCGCTTTGTTTATGAATATTATATATGACATAAACACTTATTTAAGATTACTCTCATATTTATATATATATATATATATATATATATATATATATATATATATATATATTATATATATATATATATATATATATATATATATATATATATATATATATATATATATATATAAATAAAATTATATTATTAATAAAAAAATATAATAAATATTTTTATTAAAATAACAATAAAGTAAGTTCAAACTTTAATCATTTATGAATAAAAAGATTTTTACCACCATTAAAATGAGAGTAATCTTAAATAAGTGTTTATGTCATATATAATATTCATAAACAAAGCGAATTTAAGTTTCATATACAATATCATATACAATAAAACCATTTTAAAAGCATTTTCAAAATTTAAACGATTTTATAAAATTTTAGTAAAAGTATTTTTCAAATTACATTCTGATTATTTGTCCTTATTTTGCAAAACTCTTTTTCAAACAAATTTTTTTTTTTTTTTGACCAGTCAACCATAACTGGCATAAATTCATTTTGGGAGGTCCAACTAGCAATTTTAATCATTTTGGCAGATTGTTGACTGTTGATCCCACGTTATTTTCCATGCTGATATATTATATATATATATATATATATATATATATATATATATATATATATATATATATATATATACAGTACTGTGAATATGTTTTAGACCACTTACATTTTCTCAAAAAATCCAAGAGAATTCTTCCTTAATATTTAAGTTTTGAATTCTATATTATAAAATTATTAAAATACATATATTTCACACAAAATATGGAACAATAACAAACTTTTTAATGTCACACTTCATAAAAAAACCCTTAATATTTACTATGTCCTCCTTTTGCCTTAATCACAGCCGATATTCACCGGGAAATAGATTCATACAAATTTGTTATAAAATCCTGCGGTATGTTGTGCCATTCTCTTTGAAGTAGTTGAAAACATTCTTCAGCATTTCGGGGAGCATGTTCGACCTTTTTCCTGTCCAAGTAATCCCAAATATGCTCAATTATATTCAAATCTGGACTCTGGGGAGGCCAGGTCATCATTTCCAGTATTCCTTCTTCTGCCATTTCATTTAAATAATTTTTTGCCACTCGGGAACAATGTTTTGGGTCATTGTCCTGCTGCAG